AGGTGGGGGGCCAGGGTAGGTTTTGCTTTTTTTTTCTCTTGAGACGGGGATCTTAGTATGTAGCTCATCCTGGTCTCCAACCTCTCATTTGTCCAGCTCAGCCTCCTGTTGTTGGGACAAGCATGGATCACCGCACTCAGTTCTCATGTTAATTGAATTTTTCTTAATTACATTTATTTGTTTTTGTGGGGGTGGGAGGCTGATGCTGTCGTGCTTGTGGAAGTGAGAAACCAACCTGTGGGACTTACTTCTCTCCTCTTACCACGAGTCCCTGGGACCAGGCGTGGCGGCAGGTACCTTTAAACCACCTCATGTATGTTCATTGCAGAAATGTTAGAAAGTACAGAAAAAGAAGAAAATAACTCACCCGGGCCTCACTGCCCAAAAGAATGACTTTGTTAGGGAAAGGCACTTGCTAAGGCATGGCTACGGGAGGCCAGAGGACAACATACCAGTTCCCCTTCCATCGGGAAGGTTCTGGGGATCAGACTCAGGTCACCAAGAATGGCAGGAAGCCCCCTTACCTGCTAAGCCATCTTGTCACTCTGTTTCCCACAGTGGAAGTACTATGAACTTTATGGTCAGAACGAATTTAGTATTTATTATGGTTTTGATATGAAATGTCCCCAAAGGGTCATATGTTGGAAGCTTGGTTCACAGCTGCGGGCCACATTGAAAGCACTAACTTCATCCGTGGGGTTAATCCATAAGTCGGTTAATACTGAGAGGGCTAATAGGTGGCAGGGCCTGGTAGGCAGATGTGTATTAGGTTTGTTTTTATTTTATGTGTATCAGTATTTCACTTGCATATCGGTCCGTGGATTACATTTGTGCCCGGTGCCCTCAGAGGTCAGAAGAGGGTGTTGGATCCCCTGGAACTGGAGTTAAGGATGATTGTGAGCTGCCATGTGGGTGCTGGGAATTGAGCCCAAGTCCTCTGCAAAAACCAGAGCTCTCTCCAGCCCCCTGAGGCGTATATCTTGTTCCTCCTGCCTTCCTGTCTCTCTCTCTGCTTCTCAGTTGCATAAAGTGAGAGTTTCCCCACCGTGCTCTTCTGTGATAAAGCGTAAAGCCTGTCACAGCCCTAAGAGCAATGGAACCAGCCAATCACTGCTTGAAACCTCGGAAACTGAGCCGATAGGATCCTTTCATTCTGGACACTGACTGGCTCAGATACACTGTCAGTGAGACAACAAATGACTAACAGTATTCTTTTCTTTGCATTTTATTTTAAAATTTTAAAAATGTGTGTCTGTGGATTTGTAGTAGCCGCGGAGGTCAGAAGAAGACCCCAGGTCTCTGTGAACTGTTGTTATAGGCAATTATGAGCTGATGTAGATGCTGGGAACTGAACTCCAGTCCTCTGAAAAAGCAACAAGTGCTCTTAATTGCTGAGCCGTCCCTCCATTTCAGCATAGTTTTTAACTTATTTTATTTATGATGATGGCAATGTAGTGTTTGCCCATGTCTGATGTAGGGACCCAGAGAGGTCAGAGGACAACTCTGTGGAGCCAGGTCTCTCCTTCCACCTCAGTGTTGACGCTGCATAGGGGACAGACACGCAGACCTGATTCTCTTGAGACCGCCTATGTAACCCAGGCTGGCCTCCAACTCACAGTCAGCCTTCCACGTGTAAGAATTATGAACATATGCCACTGTTCCCTGCCCCTGCCTTCTTCCCCTTTGAGACAGGTCCCACTGTGCAGCTGTGGCTGGAACTCAATAGTACACCAGGCTGGCTCTGAACTCATAGAGACCCACCAGCTTCTCCTTCTCAGCTGCCGAGATTAAGGGCAGAAGCAGTGCACCTGGCACAGTCTTTCATAGTCTCAAATAAATGTCAATAATATGTTTTTATGGCCATGCAGTATTCCCTCACATGTATATGTATATATTATGAAGTATTTGTTTTGGTTTAAATCTGGATTGTCCCCCAAAGGCTGGATCTGACCACTTGGTGACCAGCTTGTGGTGACCCTTAGGCTGTGAAGTCTGCAAGAAATGGAACACAGAGGCAGAAGTAAGTTGTTAGGGATGAGTAATGTGATATCCTGAAGTTCACAGCCAATCCCATGTAAAACAGCTTGTAAAAAGTCGCCTGCACATTAATAGCATGAAAAAGGGAGGCGGTTATCCAAACGACTGAAAAACAATAAAGTTTTGGGAATGAGAATATGGTTAGGCAGTATGTACTGAACTCCAACTCAACCCCTAACAGCAACAAAAAATAAAAATAGCAAAGAAAGATGACAATAATTGCACCAAATCTTGCTTTTTTAAACCTGTCCATTAACTTTAAAATATTTTTCCACTGATTCTCAAGGTTCTAGGCATCACTTGTATTTTAAGAATTTTTCTTAGTTTTGTACCCATTTCAATATACAATACATATTTTTTTCCATTTTGGGCAATAAGATATTAAATCTTTTGTTGTTAAATCAGGGTCTCTCACTATGTAGTTGAAACACATCAAACTTGCTATCCCCCTGCCTCAGCCTCCCCAATGCTGGTAACCATACCTAGCTGTGTTGGAAGTTTTAATTAGGAAAGAGCATACAACCAATTAGGTGAGCAAAACGCCTAGTGGTTTTTCAGGATCCTAGCGAGGATCCTGAAATAGGGCTTGAGAAGGACAGCAGCTAGTGATAGTGATGAAGGCTGAGTCTAGCCACCACGGGATGGGGCTGAACACAGGGGTAAGCAGGGGTAAGAAGGTGACCCAAGAGGCAGCTGCTGGTGCTGCTTAGGTCATCCGTGCTTCCGACACAGACTAAGAGCCAGGAGCTCTCCGTCTCGGAAAGAGGTGCTGCGGCTGAGCTAGCTGGCTGAGGGGCCCTTGAGCCCTCCAATGCACGGCCATGCTGAGCAGCACAGGGCAAGGTCCTGTGGCAGAAAAAAAGAAAAAGAAAAAAGTTAATTTCTGGGACCCATCCAGCAAGTTGGTAAATGAAGCCAGGAAGATAGCAAACGCTAATCTAGCCGGATGAACAAAGGGTTGTTAGGGGAAAGTTTGGAAGTGGTAATTAGAAACAGGCTCACTAGCCTAACCTCCTGACCTTAACCTGTACAGAATAGGAGAGAAAAATATTCTGTACTCTGGAATTAATAATAGAGTTAAAGCCAAAAGTCGGGCGGTGTGGTGCACCCCTTTCTCCCAGCGCCCGGGAGGCAGAGGCCTCAGACGAGGGCCTCATACATGCTAGATACACTATATTCGTAAACACTCAAATGATGTATTAAAAAACATTTTTTTAAAAAAAACTTGTTTACTCATGGGAAAGATAGAACGTGTTATCTCTAAGGATTAAACTCCCTGGAAATTTTCTGTTGCAAAAGCCCAAAGGAGAACAAATGAAACGAAACAAAATCAGAGTTCTAAGGCTTTCCTTCATGCAGTCCTCTGAGGTCTGCAAGATCTGCAAGAAGCCAATGAGACTTCGGGGTTGTGTTTTCTCCAATCAAACTTCAAAGAACGTTATCCTCAGATATCATTGACACCTCCTCCTCCAAAGACCTGACTCACTGACCTAACTGACCCAGAAGTCTCACCCAGTAGGGCAGCAAACAGCCTGGACCCTACTATGCACTCCAACTTTGGTCAAACCTAGCCTGGTAACAGAACCATTTCAGTCGGAACAGCGATGTTTATTTCCAAAAGTACAAGCAGACCACAGTCAAATCCTTCAGCCACAAAGATAACAGGATAATTTGCTAACTCGTGGACCATGAAATAAACCCGTTGATTCTGTGGTCTGGAGGAGAGAAGACAGTTCAGGACGTTGTTTCTTTAGTTACTATAAGACTCTACTGGGAAAAAAATAAGATACACTGTACGTTGGGACAATTGCACATGGATTTGCTAGGGTCACATGTCTGCAATGTCATGATCAGCTCATTTCCACAGGAAAGTAAAACACTTTTTACATATGTAATAAACGTTGGTCACGCTCGCCCCTATGTTATATATGTTAATGAGAAGCATTTGCTGTCAGTATTGTGTTCTAGAAGACATTAAAACTGTAGCATATTTAGGACTCCATCAAGTTCTACCTCGAATCAATGGAATGAATTTTCTAGAGCACCTGGCTTCCCTTTAAAATTAAAACCCCAGTATGCACCACCACATGCACAAGAAGTTGACTACTATATTAAGGAGTTTCTAAACATTACGCTTCGTCTTGTCCCATTACCAAACATTAAGGTCTGATGAAGTTGAGGTCCTTGGCGTGTTTGGGGTCTTACCTAGCCGGCTCAACGAAAACACAATGCAGAGATTTGTCTTAAGCCCCAATTAACTATTGAAACCACAGCCTTTAGCAACCGGGTAAGAAGCGAATGCGGAGATTTAAAAGAAAAAAAATGCAATTGTGTAACAAACTCAAGTAGCAGGGAGACATCCAGTCCTGGAAGTCTGCCTTTCCCAGGTTCCAGAACAAAAGAAGCCTTTGCCAACGCTAGGGATTTGACTGCCTGCGATCCACTTCCACTCCCCAGCAATCACAGCTCGGAACACGGGCGCCCACAGCCTGCCCGGCTTCTCTGCTTCCCCATCGGGGCCAGAATAGGGGGGAGGGGGCAGGCTATCGTCATCCTTCGGGGACTCGCGTCCCGGGAGGGAGCCAGGCCCGGCCAAGGGTCCCCACCGAGAACTGGCACCCAACTCGGGTCATCCGAAGGCGACCGATCCCGGTGCCAGGCTTCTCCGGAGCAGGCGGGGTTAGGAAGGAGAGGAAACGGGGCGCCCAAACAGCACCGCCCCGTCCCTTATCAGCGTCCGAGGGGAAGGGCGGAGGGGCGAGCAAAAGAGCGGGCCCGGAGCCCGAGCTCCCGCCCGAGCGCCTTTTAAACTGCGTTTCTGCACCTCTCTCCCTGCGCCGCGGCGGCTGGAACCCGCGCGAGCCGCCCGGCCAATCGGCACCGCGCTTCCTCCCACCGCCCGCCAATGGCGGCGCGCGTTCTTGGGGCGTGCGCCAGTCAGGCCTCCACCCCCCCTTCCCCAGCTTGTGTGTGTGGGCTCGGCTCTCAGCGGGCTCCCGGCTCGGCCGCTCTCGCTCGCTCGGTCCTGCGCCCCGGGCTTTTGTGAAGGAGCCGTCCCCGGCTTTGTGTCCCGACTTCCGCGCGGCCCCGCGGCGCTGCTCCCGGCACCGGATCCCTCCTCCCCCGCCGCGGACAGCAGCGAGCGAGAGCGAGCGAGCGAGCGCGCCGGCGTGAGCGACGACCGAGGGGCCGTAGAGAGGGGGGGACCGAGCCGCCGTAGCCGAAGATGCCGGAGTTCCTGGAGGACCCCTCGGTCCTGACCAAAGACAAGTTGAAGAGCGAGTTGGTGGCCAACAACGTGACGCTCCCGGCCGGCGAGCAGCGCAAGGACGTGTACGTGCAGCTCTACCTGCAGCACCTCACGGCGCGCAATCGGCCGCCGCTCGGCTCGGGAGCCAACAGCAAGGGGCCCCCCGACTTCTCCAGCGACGAGGAGCGCGAGCCCACCCCGGTGCTCGGCTCCGGGACGGTCGCGGGTCGAGGCCGCGCCGCCGTCGGCAGGGTAAGGCCGCTCGGGGGCGGGAGAG